TATGTATGTATGTATGTATGTATGTATGTATGTATGTATGTATGTATATATGTATGTATGTATATATGTATTTATGTATATATGTATGTGTTTGTGTGTGTGTGTTCAAACAGTAAATATAACAATACATTGATTGGGTGGGTTTTTGTGCAATGGGGCGGTTTTTAACAGACTTTTGGGCTGGAAAACCTCGACTCTATCTGGCAACACTGACCAGGCACCATAGTGGTACCAGGTGGTGGTCAATGGTGGCCTTGGCCACCATAAAATAATCTGGTGGGATTTGGCCATCCCATCAGCCCTTTCTCACTCCTAGATGCAGCCACACACCCAAATGGATGCCAGTATTTTGCTTATTTTTCAAGTTATCCAGCTCACAACGTTTACATAGATACTACGTGGCAGCAGCCATCTTGGATTTTGACATAGCAAACTAATTTTCAATAGGAAACTTTGTTATTCTTTGATGTAGCCACACACCAAACTGGAAAATTAGTCTCACTTATTTTTCAAGTTGTGCTCACAACAGACGGATGGACAGAAGAAAATTCCAATTTACCTCGGCTTCACAACGAAGGACAATAAATGCATAATGCATGTTGTTGTTATTTTGTGCTGTAATATTCATCGAAGAGCTGAAGACATATACTCACAAAATAAAATCTGCTGTTTCTGTGGCTTAAAACTAAGCAATGCTGCCACTTCTATTTTCTGGGACAGAAACAGCTGGTGCTGGTTTAGTTTTGCTGCAGCGTCCGACAAACCTCCTCAGCTGTTGCATCAGAAGTCCGGAGCATTTGGTTAAAAAATAAGAAATGAATCTAACTCAGAAGTGATGACTTGTTACGGTGGTTTAAATGAGCAAACCTGCCGCTGTCTGCAGACGCACCTTCAGACTGAGCCAAGCTGAACCTGCCAGACACCAGAGCTGACAGCTAGCCAAAAAGTTTACTGCAAACACGTTTAATTAGGCAGGTAGCTGACAGCATGCAGATTCTTCCTGTCTGCTCAGTTAGAGAGAGAGAAAGTAGAGACTGATACAATACTGTGAATATAAACATGTTTGCTTTGCACTCAGACTGTTCATCTGACATCATTAAATTAGGTTTTTATAAAATCAGTGTAAAGGATACTCCCTTCTTTGCTCGTTTCTTGTATGCTCTCCATCCCTGGCAGAGCAGCTGCCACGCGTCGAAACAGCTGGAAAAGATAAACAGAATGCAAACACCTTGTTGAATTACATCTTTTACATAATTTATACATGCTTATCAGCTGTAAATCAAGTGCAAGATAGAGTTGTAGTTGAGCTGTTGCCTTGTTTTTAATTTATACCAACTTATTGTGTACGACAGAGAAAACACTAAATATTTATGTAAAAAATAAATTATGTGTACAATCCCCACCCATAGGAAGGACTGCCTCAATGTGCAGCACAAGAGCAGCAAGTGTAAGAAACTCCAGAACAGGATGTAACAACAGGAAGTTACTGGCAAACATCTTACACATGCATGGTTCTAGATTCTGGGTTTTCTTGTTCGTGCAGAAATAAGCAGCAATCTTAGATTTGCAGGCACAACGTCGGGGTGAGGATCGATGACGCAGTCAAACAAACAATGGGAAGTTGCAGCCTTTGAGGGCAGGACTGTGACCTTTGTTTCAGTTTCACTGCACGATGCTCAGTTCTGGGACTCGGTTAGTGTTGCAGTCCTGAAGGAAGCTGAAGAACAGCCTCCTCTGTCTGCTGAGGTGCCGTCCATCACTGGCAGACAACACAGACACCTCTCTGCTCCCTAACTCCACCAACACAAGCTGATTTTAACAATCATCTTCTGTTCAGAAACAGACTTGCTGTTGAATCAGGTTATTGTTCTTTTGTATCCAAATCTTTCTAAACATTAAGTAATATCTGCAGTACAATGCAGCAGGGACGTGCAAAAGAAGAGGCTGGTGTATGCTAGATGTGTTTAAAACTGCTCTGAATAGCCGCGTTCAAAGGCAGGATTAAACCGGCTGTGACAGAAAAATTAACCACCCTCCAGCTCTGATGCTGCCACAGACCAGACCAGGCATTGCTTTAAGCAGCTGCCAGGTTGAAACCGCTGGTTTCAGAGAGTTACAGAAACTGCTGAATGATGCAATGTTGGTCGCATCACCAGAAAGTTCTGAAGGGAAGAGCTTTTAGTTTTTATTTCCAGCCATCCAGGAAGCAACCTGTGTTACACAGACATGAACCTGAAGGATGCCAGCTGAAACACTTAAATAAGAAACAAATAAGCTCACAGCATTTTAAACTGTTTTAGCTGAGAATCCATTACAGCTGTGGGAAACTTGTGTGGTTAAAGGAAATGTTTCTTTCCCTCCACCTTAGATTTATAAATCTCTGTTGAATTAAAGTCAAATTTAACAAACTTGATGTTTTGGCCATCAAGAACACCAACTAGAAGAAACCCAACACCTCTCAACATCCTGGGAATATTATCCCTACAGCGAAGTAGGGATGCACGATATTGGATTTTTGGCCGATATCTGATATGTTAAAACTTATTTGGCCGATAACCGATACCAATACTGATATTTTTTTCCTAGACCTACTTCCAGAGACTACATCTTTCTCTGCTGTGGAATTAAAATACTACATTATTCTGCATGCTTCTTGTCAGCTTGTCCAAATGCAGATGCCAAAAAGGGGCTGAAAATGATGTAACACTTCAACTTGGATTATGTTTAATGTCAAATTTATTCATGACATTTATTCTCTCCAACACAATGACAACACTCGAACAGTGCAAATGTGTAAATTTTCACAAATCTAAACTCAATCTGTTCACAAGCGATAAGTGAAAACTGCATAAGTAGTAGTGCTTCAATAGATGTACTTGATAGTTAATTAAATTTAAAATTAACTTAAAACGGAAGACTTTCATATCGGTGCATTATTTTTGATGGAATGTCCGATGTCCGATATTTAACTTTATCACTAATATCGACGATACAGATACCATGCCAATAATATAGTGCATCTATACAGTGAGGCATGGTGGTGGCTGCAGCATGCTGTGGGGATGTTTTTCATCGAGTTGGTAAACGGCACTAAACAAAGAATGCTTGAGGGAAACCTGTTTGAGTCTTCCAGAGGTGTGAGACATGTACAGAGGTTCATCTCTGAGCAGAGCTTAAGCACACTCCTGAAGTTAACAGAACAGTTAACCTCGGTTTGAATTTAAATTATCTAAAGTATTTTTTACAGGTTTGTTGCTTAGAATTCATGTAAAATCCAGGTTGTAAAACAACAAAAGGGGGATGAATACTTTTGCAAGCTGGACTGTTCTCACTGCTGACACAACACGGTGGGGGATCACTGTGCAAGACTAATTAGATTAATTGACGTATGGACAGCCGGTTCAGTGAATGTAAACAAAGATGTCCACAGAGTGTGTTTAAACTGCTTTACAACCTTCAGCAGTAATTAGGATCAGATGAACATCACCAGTTATATTAATAAGGTAAATAATTGTTAATCTGTTAGCTATAATGAGTGGATTGACTGTAACAACATAACTGCAACTGCCACTACTATGTATTGTGTTTTATTGGCCTTATTAGACTGTGAACTCACCTGCTTTACGTTATAACCAGTCTTGGCACTGGTCTCTATGAACATGACACTCAGTTCTTTAGCCCTCTGTTCCCCTTCTTCAATTGTAATTTGTCTGTAAATACAGAGTAGGTTTCATGAATACAAGGCAGGATCTGAACACAGCTCGTATTCTCATATTAACGTTCATCACAGATAAACGGATGATGTACAAATACACCACTGTTGTTTTAGGATAGGGATGATACATCAGGCCTACCTGGCTGAGTATGATTAATTACACTGTCCACTGAGAAATTAATGACAGCAAATTTACATGATGTTATAATGAATTTGGCACTGATTGCTTGCCTCTTGCTGTGACACAAAGTGTATCAGGTGTCTATTAACACTGTTATAAAGATTGTTGTAGCTCTACTGACACTGCAGGGCAAGCAGCCAGCAGGTCTAAAAGCACGGGGGTCCTAAATCAACCTGCCACAGGGTCTACTGGGGAACCTCAATGCAACCACTCCGGTCTTTTTCTGAACATGAAAGGCATCTTTCTTCCTCTTCTTTCAGCTACTCCTTTAGGAGTCACCTCGGTAGAACATCTGTCTCCAACTCACCTTATCCCATATCCTTATTGCATCCTCCTCTGTCTCATAAACTCTTCTCCATCACTACATCAGTGGAAATTCTCTGTAGTTTTCCTCATTTCTTCCTCCTTTGCAGCTTCATATTCAACATCCTTTGTCCACTATCCCTCTGCTGCACATTTCCAGACCATCTCAACCATGTCTCTTTAACTTTGTTTCCACACTTCTCAACCTGCGTTGTCCCTCTTATTTACGCATGTCTAACCCTGTCCAGTTTGGCTACTCCAAATGAAAATCTCATCTTCATCTTTGCCACCTGTTTTTGTGTGTGTGTGTGTGTGTGTGTGTGTGTGTGTGTGCGCGTGTGTGTGTATTAGTGCCAATGTGTCCAAACATCATAGCAGGTTGCATCTTTTTGGATTCTGGTTTACTTTAGATGTTGGACCCCAAGTACTTAAACTCGCCCACCTTCAGTACCTCTACTTGTATCTTCACTGATCCACCTGTCTCCCTCTCATTTGCACACATGGATTCTGTCACTTTTTTTGATTTTCATTCTTCTTCTCTCCAGAGCATACTTCCACCTCTTCAGACTCTCTTCCACCAGCTCCTTACTCTTACTCTTACTGATGTTATGTCTGCAAACATCATGGACCATGGGGATTTCTGTCTAATTTCATCTGCCAAACAGACCATCACCACCAAACAAGAATGCTCAGAGCTGATCCCTGATGTAAGCCCACTCAGCAGTCATTTCTATACACATCTTACATTGTCTCAATGTCCATGTGCAAGTTCTTTTAAACACAAATACTTTATTTTGAAGTCTTGGAGGCGTTTTAAACATGAATTAACATACAAAAACATTGAGCTGAAAACACAGTAACTACAGATTAAATGGAAGCTCTTCTTCTGTAACACCCAATTAACTTCACAGCACAGGCCAGAGTAATTCCACCCGTATGAGACAGCAAAATAGGTTTGCACTAGAGATGCATTAACATAACACCACAAGCATTCTGTGGCTATGTTTAGATGCATGCATCGGATTCAGTCATTCACAGGCTGAAACTTATTTATTACCAAACTGGCAACTTGAAAGAAACTGCGGAGGGAAAGTGCAGATATAGAAATGTTTGCATATGCAAAAAATGATCATAGTACAAGCATGTTCCCTTATCTCACTAATGATCACATCTGCTTAACACAACAAAAATAAAGAAACTGGGCCATTAACACTAAAAATGGGAAAGTATGACTTTAATCAAAGTGTTTTTTTTTATTGTTTTTTTTTTAGTTCATCTCAATGTCCTTTTTATTAACTTGATGAGCCCAGGTGAACTTCAGTCCCTCTTGTTTATGGTCACAGAATAATGGGAAGCTTAAACAGCCTCACAACAGACAATGCGTTTGAATATTGAATGATGCGCATGTTTTATTAGGCAGTTCTCAAATATTCACATTTTCTTTGACTTAGTTAATAGATATATTTAACCTGTCAGCCCATCTTATTCTTATTTTTTCATTGTGAAAGTACATTAATTATTTTATGATCCATGTTTCACCTCGTCTTCTTGAGGTCAACAGGATCACACGGTTACTCTGAATGAAATTACCATACCATACCATTTTATTTATAGAGCACTTAAAACAGCTACAAGGCCAACCAAAGTGCTGTACAGACAGAACAACAAACAACACATGAAGCAATATACAAAATGAGGTAAATCAGACATATAGACATAAAAACGATGCAGATAATAAATATGATGACAAACCAGTGTGGAGCGTACAGGTTCAAACACAGATCCTCTGGTGTTGAAAGCTACTGAATAGTAGTGCGTTTTTAAACGGGATTTGAAAACCGAGAGGGAGGGGGCCAGTCTGACAAGCAGAGGTAACTCGTTCCAAAGTCTTGGTCCTGCTACAGAGAAGGTCCTGTCACCTCTGCGCTTAAGACGAGTTCCTGGAACTGTGAGGAGCAACTGGTCCGCTGACCTCAGGGAACGTGGTGGGACATACGGTTGTAGCAGATCAGAGAGATGGGGGGGAAACTGTTAAGCGATTTGTAGACATACAGGAGTATTTTGAACTGGATTCAAAGGTGGACCGGTAGCCAGTGCAGTGAGGCCAAAACTGGTGTAATGTGCTCTCTTTTGCCTGTACTGGTTAAAAATTGGGCTGCTGCATTCTGGACCAGTTGTAGTCGTGCAATGGAGGTCTGACTGATACCAAACAGAAGTGAATTGCAGTAATCAAGCCTGGATGTAATGAATGCATGTATTACTGTCTCCAGGTCATTTTTGGACAACATGGGCTTCAGTTTAGACAGCTGCCTCAGTTGGAAGAAACATGATTTAACAATCATGTTTACATGATTGTTAAGTTTCAGGGAAGGGTCCATTATCACTCCCAGATTAGTGACTCTTTCTTTTTCTGACAGGGTTAGAGTGGAAAGGTCGATGCAGTGGTTTGTGATCGTGTCATTGGGAGGGAACAACATGACTTCAGACTTCTTTTCATTGAAATTTAAGAAGTTTAAAGCCATCTAGTCCCTGATGTCAGCCAGGCAGTCGAGCAGAGGTTGAATAGAGTATGTACCATTGTGTCTTAGGGGGAAGTAAATTTGACAGCCGTCGGCGTAGAAGTGAAAGGGCATGCTGTGTTTCCGGAAAATAGCATCAAGTGGCAGAAGGTATAGAGAGAATAGGAGGGGACCCAGGATGGACCCCTGCGGAACCCCCCATTTAAGCTCTGTCGCTGCAGAACTAAAATCATTGATGGAGACACAAAAGGATCTGTCAGAGAGGTAAGATCTGAACCAATTGATTCAAATTCTTCTTGAATGAACTCCAACTTCTAAGAAGCCAACTTTACCTTAACTCACTTTATTGGTTTTATAATTTCAAAAGCTCCATCCATCCATTATCTTTACCCGCTTCTTCCTTTTTGGGTTGCGGGGGTCATTGGAGCCTATATTCAAAAGTCACTGTGTGAGAGGCAGGGGACACCCTGGACAGGTCTACAGTCCATCACAGGGACACAGAGACAAACGAGACAAACAACCATTCACTCTCACTCACACCTAGAGACAATTTAGAGTTACCAATCAACCTAACATGCATGTTTTTGGTCTGTGGGAGGAAACAGGAGTACCTGGGGAAAACCCATGCATGTATGGAGAGAACATGCAAACTCCACCCAGAAAGGCACCTGGACCGGGATTTGAACCGGGGCAACCTTCTCACAGAGAGGCAGCAGCTCTACCAACTGAGCAACTGTGCCTCCCACCCAGTTAGGACCACACTTTCCACAGAACAACTGTGTCAACTCTTGAAACTGTGCCTGCAGTCAACCTACTTCACATATGGGGAGCAATATTATAGGCAGAAACATGGGTGTGCTATGGGGTCTCCAGTTTCTCCTATTGTTGCCAACCTGTACATGGAGGAGGAAGAAAAGAGAGCCATGACGTCCTTTTCAGGGACACCACCAAGTCATTGGTTCAGGTATGTTGACGACACCTGGGTTAAAATTAAATCTCAGGAAGTCCAACATTTTACTGACCACCAACTCTGTGGATAAATACATCAAGTTCACACGAGAAGATGAAAAAAATGGCAGGTTGGCTTTCTTGGACTGTGAGGTCTCAGTCTCTGATAGAGGACATTTGTAAACTGAGGTGTACCGCAAACCCACCCACACAGACCAGTATTTGCAGTTTGACTCCCATCACCCTTTGGAGCACAAGTTAGGAGTCATCAGGACTCTGTACCACAGAGCAGACAGCGTCACCACTAACTCAGGAGCCAGGCAGAAGGAGAAATCCTACACAAGACAGGCTCTAGAGCAGGGGCGCCCAACCTTTTTTGAACCAAGAGCTACTTTTGAAGTTGGCAATTTGCCAAGAGCTACTCGTCCAGTCTCATTATCAACAAACATAATTTTTCATCAATCCCTACTCCTCACTTCTTTAAAGTAAATAAAACGGAACGTGATGTGTCTATAGGAGACAACTTTTTATGCAAGCTGTATAAAATAAATGTGTCTCTACCTTAGTGGGACTTCTGACACTGAGAGGAGGAGGCCAGGGTCTCATAAGATGGGCAGTATGAGGTGGTTGCGAGGCACAGGCAGGTCTCCAGATGATCATCATTCATTGTGGATCTGTTTTTGGACTTGATTTTCATGTGTGAAAGAGCAGACTCACACAGGTAGGTAGATCCAAAAAGTGCTGTTAAGTTCAAAGCACATCTTCGGATGTTAGGATACTTTTCTTCTGACAGCAGACTCCAGAACTCTCCATCCACACCAGGTGATGCTCTGGATTTTATCCCAATGTCATTTTGCAGAGTCAACACCTCATTTTCAACACCAGAGCTGTCCAGCTGAAACACGGACACCAATTTGGACACAATGTCATCCACATCAACATTTCCAAAAGGATAACACATGTAGCTGGTAACAGGCTCGATGGAGGAAAAGTCAGTAAATCGTCTCTCAAATTCTGCTGAGATGCTCGGAACCTGCTTAGAAT